CTGTGTCGTATTTTAATATTACATCGATCCAAACGAACGCAACTCTCGAAACTTTTTATTCCGATTCTCTCCCTCCCTCTCTCTCTCTTTCTCTCTGCTTACTTAGAATAATTCTACGGATCAAAAGTTCAACGTGAAATTTACAAATCTTTTCTCGTTTTTCAACTCGTATATATATATATTTTTTAAGTGTAATATATTTCCCTTGGAAGCTAGCTAGTTGAAAGTTTTCGACGGAAAAGAAAGCGCGATTTTTTTTCTTTCTCTCTCTCTCTCTCTCTCTATTCTATTCGCTAATATTTTAAATTTAATTTTTCTCCCTCGATCGACGAAAAAAAAAAAAAAATACGAAGCTACATCGCTCTCGCAACGAGGAAAAAAATTTTCACAAAGAAAATCCCAAGAATTCGTCGATTTATTAAATATCTACGCGTACAGCTAGTAATAGTAGTAATATAGTAGTAATAGTAGATATCGCGTTTCTTCCTTCTCCCTCTGGCTTTACCTCTTGCCGTAACGATCGATCCGCGCAATTCGACCGAATTATCGAACCGGATGCCTTTCCAAATAACGAACGAAATCCATCGTTGGTGTTACTGCGAGATTATTAGATATTTAACCCTTTTTTTTCTTTCTTTCTTCTCGAGGAAAAGAAGAGAATGGAAAATGAAAAAGAAAGAAATATTCAATCCGGTAAAAGTTCTATCTCCCGGAAGAAATCTCTTTTTTGAAACTTTACCACGTACTTGTTAACGACGATCTATCTTACTTTTATATATATATATTTATATATACGACGTTATACACCTATTGTCAGAAACCCTGTATAATTATTTACAGATCCACCCCCAAGAAGAGGAGAGAAAAAAAAAGAACAGAGATACATATATTTGATTACACAGGTGTATACAGGTGTAGCGTGCTCGAACGTGTACATTGTTATAATATAACAAAGAGGAAAGTTCGTTTATATGAAGCAAGCCGACAGTTTGACCGACAATTTATGATTTTACACTGATGCGTATGGGTGATCCTTTGACTAATAGCGCCTCTATTACTCGTTACAACCAAGCGTTCGTCATTTCTCTCTCTCTCTCTCTCTCTCTCTCTCGTGGTTCTCTCTAATATTAATTCAGCCAACGCTGATGCCGATGCTGGAATATTATTACGTTATCCACGTGACGCACGTTTCGAAAACGAGACATTCGATTTGAAAGCGTGATATACGTGTTAACCTTCCGATAACTCGATCGGAAAGACACGAAATTACGGGAAACGTCGCGATTTACCTCCATTTATATTCCTCGCCTACGCCCTCCGTAAATCCGTTGCGAAAACCGAATACCTCGCGATTTTTCCATGGAACGGGATATTTCCTTTCGCGCGAGAAAGAGGGGGAAAAAAAGGAAGAAAAAAAAGAATTAGAAGACGAGAGAAGAATGAATTTCGTGCCTCTTCTGCTTCGTTCGAAAGGTGAATATTTTTGGAGCTTTTGGATCAAATTTGTATTTGATGAAAATAGATATGTATAACGATAAACGATATGTAGGTCGGAGAGTGTAATAATTTTGTTTCGCTTGACGCGTCGATATGTATTTTCGAGATTCGGTGAATACGCTCGTATTAAAATTCGATCGAATGTTTTTGTCGTGAAAAAGTGGTGGAGGATGGAGCTTTTTCTATGGTTCGAAATATTTTAACGATTTTCGTAATTAGAATGCGTAGCGTAAAAGTATCTTTCGTACTTTGTTTTATCTTTCTTTTTCGTTTATTTATATTCCCTGCCATTTTTTTGATCGAATCGCGCCATTTTCAGGCAACGTTTCCATCGGAAATGGTAAACGTTGCAGAGTTCGATGAACGATATGTTAAAAAAACTGATCTCTGCTACATTTTCAAAGCATAATTTTTTTTTTCCCTCCCCCTTTTTTCGGATACAAAACGTGCAAAATTTGGTCTCCGTGTATCCGGTGTTATTATATCTGTACGAGGCGCGGCGTGGCGCGCGCGTCTCTTTAACGAGCTGCGCCGAAAAAAAAAAAAAAAAAAAAAAAAAAAAAAAAAGAAAAAAAAAAAGAAAAAAGAAAAAAATTGGAAATTTCACGGTAACCGAGGAAAAATCGCGGTGATCGTGCTCGTTCCGTCGAAAAGCGTGGTATTCCAATTTCCATCAATTCGCGGTTTCAGTGCGAGATTCGCGCATCAACGCGATAAATATTTACACCTAGCCTAGCTCGTATGTACAGGACGTGACCGTGCATGTACACACCGTACAAATTTAATATGTCAGCAAGACCGCGGCCCGTGACAATTCGAAAGTGGGAAGCCACTTTCCACGAAGCAGAGAGTTTTCGAAAAAAAACATTTGTTTATTCGAAACAACTTTTCCAAAACGCGTCGACGTGTTTACAAGGAGAGGGGATTATTATATAGAGCGAAATAGATCCAATAGCGTTGGATAAATAGAATGAAAGATAAAGAGAGAGGCGAAAGAAATCGAGAGGAAAAATTCCATTTCCCTTGGCGATTCCTTCCGTGGAAAAATCGTGTGGAGAATCACATTATCGAAACATTTTTCATTCGTTGTTAAATCGCTGTCGCCATTTTTTTTTTGTTTTTTTTCCTTTTTTTAATTGTTCCGATATACACGTGTCGTATATAATTGTTTGGATTAAACGCACACACGCACACACACACACACATACAAGTAACAAGTAAAGTAAAGGCTCGGTACTCGCATCGGATACGGATTCATCATTATATGAGATATAGTAATGTATATACATGTACAAAGCGAAAGACCGAGAGAGGTGGTGATTATTTCCGGTTTTTTCTAAAAGTGGTAAAGTGGTGCTATTGTGACGCTTTCACTTTTCGGCTAACAACTAAACTCGGTCTGATCGAGGTTTAACTTCTCCCGTGTGTGTGTATATATGTTTTATGCGTATGCGTGTACATTGCGTGTGGAAATGAAAGAAAGAGAAAAGAAGAAGAAAAAAAAAAGAAAAAAAAAGAAGAAAAAAAGAAAAAGAAGAAAGAGAGGAGACGGTCACGCGTAGATGTGTCAATTTATGAACTCGTTATACCGGCGTCTTTGGCAGTTTCCTGCGCGTCGGTGATGAAGGCGTTTTATCCGTTTCCCCTTCTGAAAAAGAATATACATTTCACGTGTCAACGTAAGCAATAACAACAACAACAACAACAACAACAACAACAATAACAATAATATTAATATAATCTCAGAAACGATCGGCACGTCGGTATTCAAAAAAAAAAAAAAAATAAAAATCTCCAACAATTGTGAAAAGTCAAATTGGAATCGAACGTTCCATCGCGATTATTTTCATTCCCTTCGTCGATTTTCGAACGATGCGATAAAAGAAAGGAAGAGAGAGGAAAAAAAAAAAAAAGAAAGAAAGAAAACGAGAACGTTTAATCCCTGATACGCGAGAAGACGAACAAGCTGCTACTGACGAGCGCAAAACAATCAACTCTTTCCTCTCTCTCCTCCCCCCGTTTTTTTTCCACTCTCGAAACGCGCGCGTGCACGAGTCGAGCGAATCCTCCTCGCTCCGTGCGAATTATCGATTTTAAAGCCGACGATGCACTCTACCCTCCTCCTCCTCCTCCTCGAATCTAACGATTCGTCTTTTTTCCCCACCGTACACGTGTACACACACGCACACACATATATCGGACGATTCGGTACTCACCCATCAGCAGTCCCAGATTCCCCGGCACTTTTCCAGATGGTACCGCGGCTAAATCCTCCGGCAGGTCCCCGCTGCGTACATTCGTGTCACGTAAAAGTAGCGATGATAAAAGCAATTCGGTTTAACTACTTTTCGCAATTCGACTCGACTATGTTATATTATTATTCTCCTTTCTTTTTGCTATCTATCGCGGAATAATTTCACTGATTTTTTTTTTTTTCTATTATTGCGAATGACTGATCTTTTTTTAATGATTGTATATTTTCGTTGTCCTTCGAATTTGAAATTGTTTTTTTTTTTTTTTTTTTGTGGAGTAGAGAAACGATTCTTATTACTTACGTGTCGGCAACATGCTCGACCACCAGATCGACCACATCGTCGTTCCGCTCTGTTATTTGAACCACTTCCTCGAAGCTTCGATCCACCAGAGACACTCCATTCCACTCTAACACCTGAGGAGAAGTACGGGCAAATTTTTATTCGTCGTGTTAGGGATAATCACGAGAACACGTTCGACAAAGTTTTTTTGAGGCCGATTTTGCGTACGATGTCTGATAGTTTGATGTTTCGATACATCGGTATAACGATTTATCGCTCTAAAATGTGAAAGAAAAATATCGATGGTGTTTTCTTTTTTTTTTTTTTTTTTCGAAACAAAGCACATTTAGTGTTGCGATATAGAGATTCGTTATAATTCGTGAGAATGTGAAATAATGGAATGGAATTTATTTATAAAAAAGAACAAATCTCTAATATTTTTTTCAACGAAGTTTATCAAGACGTGGAATTCGATAATTAAAAATGAAGCAAACTTTTGTGTATAAACGTATAACGAGATAAACGAACGATAAATCTCACGTGCAACGGTGCAATTCCTTCCAATGCATGACGAGAATCAAAGAAATATCGATGCTGTTTTTTTTTTCGAAACATTATCAAAGCATTACATTGTAAATACAATTTAGCATTGCGATATCAGAGAATTCGTTGCATTCGTGAGAATGTGAAATTTATTTATAAAAAAGAACAAATCTCCAACTTATAAATATTTTCTTCAACTTATCAAGACGTGGAATTCGATAATTAAAAAATGAAGCAAACTTTTCTCGTTTAGAAAAGCTCTAGAACATTGCTCTCTGAATAATCTGTATTCTTTTATATATATATATATATATAAATAACGAGATAAACGAACGAGATAAATCTCACGTGTAGCGATGCAATTCCTTCCTTTGCGCGGTGAGAAACAATTTATTCGTTTGAAATTTAAACTTTTGTTATCGAGTTGTCTGAAGGATGCTCGTCGACTCCGTGATGAAACGCGGCCCGCTTCCTAAATTGGAAAGCAATATCGGATAACAAAAATATACGGGCAATTTAATAAAGTTCGTAAAAAAAAAGAAAAATATCAATCGATCTCACTTCGTCGAAGCTTACTCTAATTAATGGCCAAACGAGGGAATTATTCGTGAACGAAGAACGTTCAGTTTTACGATCACGAGGGATAAATTTGTGAAAAGATATAGGCGAAGAAAAACGGGTGTACGTGTATCGTTGGTGACAGGGCGAAGGAGAAATAACCACTTGATACATTCACCGTTTTATTCAACACGGTCGCGTACGTAATAGCCCGTAATTTAAAGAGAGAAAAAAATATTGCTGCATTAAACTGGTTCCTGAATTAGACTAATGTCCTTAGAACAATCTTCAATCTCTTCAATCTTTGATATTATTTTATACGCGACATTTGAAATATTCGTTTTATTCAATTCAGTCGCGTTATGTAATTTAAAAAAAGAAAAAAAATATTGGTGGATTAAAAATTGGTTCCTGAATTAGACTAATGTTCTTAGAACAATCTTCAATGTATCTTTAATATTATTTTATATGCAACATTTGAAATATTTGTCGTTTTATTCAATTTAATTGCGTATATAATTTAAAAAGAGAAAAAAATATTGCTGTATTAAATTGGTTCCTGAATTAGACTAATGTCCTTAGAACAATCTTCAATCTCTTCAATCTTTGATATTATTTTATACGCGACATTTGAAATATTTGTCGTTTTATTCAATTTAAAAAAAGAAAAAAAATATTAGTGGATTAAAAATTGGTTCCTGAATTAGACTAATGTCCTTAAAACAATCTTCAATCTCTTCAATCTTTGATATTATTTTATACACGACATTTGAAATATTCGTTTTATTCAATTCGGTCGTGTATATAATTTAAAAAGAAAAAAAAATATTGGTGGATTAAAAACTGGTTCCTAAATTAGATTAATATCCTTAGAACAATCTTCAATCTCTTCAATCTTTGATATTATTTTATACGCGATATTTGAAATATTTGTCGTTTTATTCAATTCGGTCGCGTATATAATTTAAAAAAAGAAAAAAAATATTCCTGAATTAGACTAATGTCCTTAAAACAATATTCAATGTATCTTTGATATTATTTTATACGCGATATTTGAAATATTCGCCGTTTTATTCAATTCGCGTTACCTAATTTAAAAAAGAGAAAGAAAATATTGGATAAATTAAAAAATATTGGATTAAAAATTGGTTCCTGAATTAGACTAATATCCTTAGGACATTAATCTTAAATGTATCTTTGATATTATTTTATGCACAAAGTCCTTAGAACAATCTATTTATCGCGATTAAATCATTTGCAAGGGATGTTCAATAATAAAATTATTTCAAAACTATTCCAGATTTTGTTTTATGTGGTCTCCTGGCGGAGGGAAAAGATTCCTATCTTGAAATTGAAATCTAGGAACGAGAAATAAATTCTGAAAGAGATAAAAAAAAATCTGATATAAAATATATATCTATATAAAATTCTTCCAAGCTGGATATTACACCACGTTTCCCACGAAACTTTTAAAAATTAAAAGTTGCGTGTTGTTTATCCGTACCAATTTTTGCACCAATTTATATTCATTACGGTGTTTATAAATATCGAAATACTTCTCTTCTTAAAAGGAAATAATACTTTTTCGCGCAAAGTTTCGAAGCGTTGAATAAGAAAGTCGAGATGCAAGATTCGGAGAATTAAAAATTCTCTCTCTCTCTCCCCCTACGATTATTATATATATTGAGACGAATTAATATAATCCTGGACATAACAAAGTTATTTTTATTAAATTAACCGATCATACGTTAACATGATTTGATACGATTTCGCGAGATGTATAGGTTTTCTTGGTGAACGATCGTGACGCGTTTGCGTTGGGCGCAGCTGTCGATAACTTAATTAAAATCACAGCTGGGGAGAATGGTTGTCGATATTCGCACGCATTAACCGCTTGCAATATGTTACCCGTTTCTATGGGCGCAAGTTGCCAAGACATTTTTATTTCCAAGATCCAAATGCCCGTTTCCCGATCCAGACAATCGCAACGCCGATTTCTATTTCCAAACACGTCTTTCTGCTTAATATATACGCGTCAAATAAGAAAGGAGTAAAAAATATATATATATAT